GTGGCCATAAGTAAATGAGAAAATACAGGACTATAGTACGTGGGCATGGAAACACGCCCACTTTTCAGGGACTAAGGACAGCTCCTTGCCAACCCCGCTTCATTTGTAGGGTTGTAGTGGCGAGGTTTGTTTTAAAACGGTAAACTATTTTAAACTTAAATAATTTAAAAAGCTTAAATGTTGTTAACCAAGGTTTAGTTTTTTTAGGACAGGGGTCTTGCTCAGTTGGTCCTAGGGTGTTGTACGGCACACGCACCCACTGTGGCTATGGGCTTTTTTTTTTTTTGTTTTTTGAGACAGTCTCACTCTGTTGCCGGGCTAGAGTGAGTTGCCATGGCGTCAGCCTCGTCACGCAACCTAAATTTCCTGGGCTCAAGCAATCCCCATGCTCGGCCTCCGAGGTAGTCTGGGACTACAGGCGTGGCCACCATGCCTGGCTACGTAATTTTTTCCCTCTATTATAGTAGTTTGGCCAATCAATATCTTTTCGTATTTATAGAAGGGAGACGGTGGGGGGCTCGCCTTGCTTCAGGCTGGTTCTCGAGGCTCGTGACCTCGAGTGATTTGCGCGCCGTTGGCCTCCAGAGGCTGGGATTATCATTAGGGTTTTGACTCGCATTTCCTGAGGCTAACGGAGTCAGGCATGGTTTGAACTTGTCATGTCGTCGTTGCTTTGGAGAAATGTCTCTTTGGATCCTTGCCCGTTTTTAAATTGGGCCGTTTTTTTATGTATCAGTTGTAAGAGTTTCTTCGTGCTATTTCGGGCGCGACTGAGCCTAGTACAGATTATGGATTTGTAAATTTTCCTCCCCGCTCTTGGGGGGTCGTCAGCGTTTCGGTTGGGGTGGTGGCTTCGCATTGCTACTTTCTGTCTTGGAAGTTTCCCACACTCTTCGGGCCTGGGTTTTGGTTTTAGTTCTGTGCGGGCGAGCGGCGATCAGGAAAGATTGGTGCTGAAAAGGTGGTGGTTTTACAGCTTCAGGAGTGTGGCTGGGGGGGGCATGTCCATCACGCAGGGCCACGACAGGAAGTTCGCAGGACCCCAGGCTCAGCCGCGAACAAACCACATATGCCGGCAAAAACCCTTGTTTTGCTGGCCAGGCGGGTGGCTCACACACCTGTCATCCCAGCACTCTGGGGGCGAGGCGGCAGGATCCGCTCGGACTGTCCGGAGGTTCGAAAGCCAGCCTGGAGCAAGAGCGGACCCCGGTCTCTTACTAAAAATAGAAAATAACATTAATTGTGCCAACTAAAATACATAGAAAATGGGCGGGCATGGTGGCGGAGGCCTTGTAAGTCCCAGCTACTCCGGGAGGCTGAGGCAGGGAGGATCGCTGGAGCCCAGGAGTTCTGAGGTTGCTGTGAGCGAGGCTTGATGCCACGGCACTCATCCCACTCACCTTAGCCTGGCAGAGCAAGAGCGAGTCTCTGTCTGCAGAAAAAAAAAAAGAAAGAAAAAGAAAAAAACAACCAACCAAAACCACAAATCCACATGACCGCCTAAAATTGAGTTCATACAGGGTTTGTTGTGTTATCTGCCCAGGGGGGGGGAGAGGGGTGTGCTAGCATGGAGCGGTGGGTGGCGACGAATCGGAGAGGGTAGGGGTGTGGGGTGGATGTGGTGGAGTGGGATGTGGTGGGTGTGGGTGGCGGATGGTGATGGGTGGTGGGGACTGGTGGGAGGTGTGTGGGTGTGACGGTGTGGGGTGATGGGGTGATGGGGGTGTGAGTGGGTAGGGTTAGTGTTGGGGCAGATGGGGATGGGTGTTGATGAGTATGGTGTGTGGTCGGCACCCTGCCCCGTTGTGCGAGGGGATAGATAATGGTCGTTGGGACTGGTGGGGAGGGCAGGGGAGATGGGGGATTGGGGACGGAGGGGTGGGGGAATTTTGGTAGGAGTTGTGAGCTTGGTGAGGGGAGTGGGCGCGAGGGAGTTGTGTGCGGTGTGTCCTGTATAGGTTGTGTTTGTGTGTGGGTGTGTAGGTGGTTGTGGAGGATGGTGGTGTAGGCGTGTGATTGGTGGTGCGGTAGGGTGGGAGATGTTTGTGGGGTAGATCAGGGTGTGAGAGGGTTTTTATTTAATTCTTGTAGGTGGGGGGTTGTTTAGGGGATTCGTGTGTGCGTTATTGGGTAGGTGTGAAGGTCGTGGGGGTTGTTGTGGTGTTTTCTATTTTTAGTAGAGACAGGGTCTCGCTCTTGCTCAGGCTGGTCTCGAACTCCTGACCTCGAGCGATCCTCCCGCCTCGGCCTCCCAGAGTGCTGCGATGACAGGCGTGAGCCGCCGCGCCAGGCCAAGATCTGACTTTCGAGGGGCCCCCGGGGTGCAGAGGGGCGGGGCGCAGTGGGCCCAGCGTCCTCTCCTGCCCGTTTCAGGATGAAGACGGGAAGGAGCTGTCGGACGAGGACATCAGAGCCGAGGCGGACACCTTCATGTTCGAGGGTGAGGGCGCGGGCGGGGGAGGATGGGGGAGGGGCAGGGCGGGCGCCACTGTCCTCGGTCCGCCTCCATTCAGGGGACCTCACCTGCCCGCAGGTCACGACACGACATCCAGCGGGCTCTCCTGGGTGCTGTTCAATTTGGCGAAGTACCCGGAATACCAGGAGAAGTGCCGGGAGGAGGTCCAGGAAGTCATGAGGGGCCGGGAGCTGGAGGAGCTGGAGTGGTCAGTCTGGGGTCGGGCGGCGACGGGGGCAGGCGGCGGCCAGAGCCTTGGGCTCAGTGAGGCTTCGGTCACACTCAGTGTGTGACCTCGGACAGGTCATTCCTGGATTCCAGTGTCTCCCGCCGCAAAACAGTGCCGATAACCGTGTGTCACCATGCGGGCGTTCTCGGAGGGTCCGGGCGGGCAGCCATGCCGCGTAGCAGGCAGCCCCCAACCCGGCGGCCTGCGGCGGGCGTCTGTTTCTTGCTTCTGTACGCACCTGACTTTCCTTGCTGCTGGGCTTGGCCGGGTGAACTTTGAGCGGCTTCCAAATTTTTTTTTTTTGAGACAGAGTCTCGCTCTGTTGCCCAGGCTAGAGTGAGTGCCGTGGCGTCAGCCTCGCTCACAGCAACTTTAAACTTCTGGGCTCAAGCAATCCTCCTGCCTCAGCCTCCCGAGTAGCTGGGACTACAGGCCCATGCACCACCACGCCCGGCTCATTTTTTCTATATATGTTAGTTGGCCAGTTAATTTCTTTCTATTTATAGTAGAGGCGGGGTCTCGCTCTTGCTCAGGCTGGTTTCGAACTCCTGACCTCGAGCGATCCGCCCGCCTCGGCCTCCCAGAGAGCTAGGACTACAGGCGCGAGCCACCGCGCCCGGCCCGGCTTCCAAATTAAGAGTCGGGTTTCGGGTCTGTTCTTGGACCCGCAGCTGCCCACGCGGGTCTCATTCCTCTCGGCGCAGATCCCGGAAGCGCCCAAAATGTCGCACGGGTTAAGAGCAAGTCCCACGGCCAAGCCCAGTGTGAATGGGGCAAGACGCCCGCGCCGTTCACCTGAGCACGAGGCGCTGTCGCGTCAAACACCGAAGGACGCAGGTTCTAAGACAGGGAGGAAGCGGAGAGTCAGGAACAATGACCCAGTCCCTTTTAGACGTGTGCCTGCCATGTAGGGCTGACTTTGGGTGTCGCAAAGGAAACAGCATTTACTAGCGTCACCTGCACAGTGAGCAAGTCCCTCTGTTCTCGCTCAGCCTGTTGCATCATGACCTCAGAGAAGCATCTCGGTTGGGTGCTGCTGTGCCCTGGGCACTCTGCTCGTCTGCCTTTTTTAAAAAAATTATTATTTTGTGAGTTGGGGTCTTGCTGTGTTGGCTGGTCCTCTAAGTATCTGGGACTTCGGACGTGCTACCACGCCTGGCTACTTCCTTTAAAAAAATTTTCTTTAGAGATGGGGGTCTCGTTATGTTGCCCAGGCTGGTCTCAATCTCCTGGCCTCAAGTGATCCTCCTAGCTCAGCCTCCTGAGTAGCTGGGGTCGCAAATGGGAGCCGCCTCGCCCAGGGAATCTGCCTCTTTAACGAAGGGGGAAGATGCCTCAGGTTCACAGAGTCGGGCAGAGGGGAGGTTGTCTAGCATAATTAAGGGACACTCATCTGCTTTTGCAGTGGTGTTTGCATGTGTGGATACCTTTATGCCAGGGATGATGTCTGCCCTTTGTGGTAGCAACATAAAGGTTCTTATTTATTTATCTAATTTTATCTTTTGAGACAGAGTCTCACTCTGTTGCCCTGGCGTCAGCCTAGCTCACAGCAACCTCCAACTCCTGGGATCAAGTGATCCTCCTGCCTCAGCCTCCTGAGTAACTGGGACTGCAGGTGCACACCACTGTGCCTGGCTAATATATATCTTTGGTAGAGACGGGGCATCGCTCTTGCTCAGGCTGGTCTCAAACTCCTGATCTCAAGCGATCCTCCCGCCTCAGCCTCCCAGAGTGCTAGGATTACAGGTGTGAGCCACCGCACCTGGCCATAAAATTTCTTTAGAAGAGAACCAAGCCAGGCACACTGGCTCACACCTGTAATCCTAGCACTCTGGGAGGCCGAGGCAGGAGGATCACTCGAGCCCAAGAGTTCGAGACCAGGCTGAGCAAGAACGAGATGCTGTCTTTACACAAAATAGAAAAATTAGCCGTGCATGGTGGCACTTGCTTGTGGTCCCAGCTACTCAGGAGGCTGAGGCAGGAAGATAGCTTGAGACCAGGAGTTTGAGGCTGCAGTGAGCTATGATGACGCCACTGTACTCCAGCCTGGGCAACAGAGCAAGACCCTGTCTCAAAAAAAAAAAATGAGAGAGAGAGAGAGAGAGAGCGAGCGCCTGTTGGTTTAAAGGAAAACAATCTAGACCATGAACCCAAGAGTTATCATTAACCCCATTTTGGGCACTAAAATCCAAAGGAAAAAAATGTCAAGTAAATAGTAGTAATAGTAATAGTAACTAGTGAATAGTAGTAATAGTAACTAGTGAATAGTAGTAATAGTAACTAGTGAATAGTAGTAATAGTAATAGTAACTAGTGAATAGTAGTAATAGTAACTAGTGAATAGCAGTAATAGCATAATGAGAGGGTGCCCTGGTTTTCAAACACCGAAACGGATCCGTATAAGCCGGAGAGTCGCTGCTGCCCCGACCCCCCTGGCTGCCCCGGCTCCTCCGCCGGACGCCCCCTGACCTCCACACCACCCGGCAGCGAAAGGGTTAACGCTGGCGGGGCAGCGCCGGGTGCGGGCGGGCGCAGTTGTGACTGGTCGGTGCTCAGGAATTTCGCAGCCTCAGTGTTAGGGGGAGGGCAGGAGAGACGGCGCATGCTGGAAACTGAGGCGAGCCTGGAAAACCGCCCAGCTTTCCTGCCCAGCTGCCCTTGGGTGTGCGTGTGTTGGGGGGGGGTCACGCCGCCGTGGCCTGGCCTCAAGTCGCAGGTCCGCCGTCCCCAGGGACGACCTGACCCAGGTGCCCTTGGGTGTGCGTGTGTTGGGGGGGTGGGCGTGGGGGTCACGCCGCCGTGGCCTGGCCTCAAGTCGCAGGTCCACACTCCCCAGGGACGACCTGACCCAGCTGCCCTTCACCACGATGTGCATCAAGGAGAGCCTGCGCCAGTTCCCGCCCGTGACGCTCGTCTCCCGCCGCTGCACGGAGGACATCAAGCTCCCGGACGGCCGGGTCATCCCCAAAGGTGCGCGCCCCGCCCCTGCCGCCCGCGCCCCGCCCCTGCCGTCCGCGCCCCGCCCCTGCCGCCGCGGCCCGCCCTGCCGCCCGCGCCCCGCCCTGCGCCCGCCGCCGCCCGCCCTGCCGGCCGCGCCCGCCCCCTGCCGCCCGCGCCCCGGCCTGCGCCCGCGCCCGCCCCTGCCGTGTGGCTGCTCTCTGGCCACGGCCTGCCAGTGCCCGCTCCCCGGCGTCCTCCCTGACGGGGCAGCTCTCGCGGTGCCTGTTGTTTCGGGGCGTTACGGGGACCCCGGTTGTGTGCCCCCGCTGGGGAGACTGAGGCGGGGCAGTCCCGGCGCAAAGGAAGGAAGCGTGAGGCAGGTGGCCAGGCGAGCGAGCGTGCGGGCGCAGAGGATCAGCTTCACCCACTCGCTGAATATCCCCCGGAGCCGAGCGCCGCCCTGGCGATGCGGCGGAGCGGGAGGTGGGGGGAGCGCAGCAGCAGTTGCAGACGCTCCCAGGAATGAGCCAAGGACCGAAGCAGCCCCAAATAGGGAGGGCGGGCTCTACCTGGGGAGGAAAGCAGGGAGGGCTGCCTGGAGGAAGGGACCTGGGCGGTGAGCCTTGGAGGTCGGAAGTGAGACAGAGAGAGAGAGAGAGAGAGCATGTTCATGGAACAGAGCCTCGGGGAGTGCAGAGTGCGAAAGACCTCGACTGCCAGGTGGTAGCCTCCACTTGATTCTCAGGGCGCTAGGGACCGAAGGGAGCGTTGAGTCGAGGAGGAGCAACGTCAGATCTGTGGGTGAAAGAGCTCTGCGGTGGCCGCGTGGCGCCAGAAAGGAGAGGATGGTGTCTCTTAGGGAACCGCCGGGGAGCGGATCGGGAGCAGCATTTTTCAGGGCAGGAGGACAGGCCGTGGTGGCAGGTGGCTCATGGGAATGCCCCAGCTCCAGGGAGACCCAGGGGAAGGGAGGTTTCTGGGGAAGCTTCTGGGTCCCCTGGCCCCACTGACCCCAGCTGTCGCTCCCAGAATCATCTGTCTGGTCAGCATCTACGGAACCCACCACAACCCCACGGTGTTGGCCGACTCCAAGGTGAGCCTGCTGCCCCAGCCACCCTCCCTGGCCCTCCCGGGCTCCCTCCCCAGAAAGGCAGCCCTGGGCAGCGGGCCTCCCTGCCCCCCACCCGGGGAGCCCAGCGCAGGGCTGGTTGCAGAGACGGCCCCTCCCCCTGTATTCACCGCTCACGATTCGCTAGGTGCACAGATATTTACTGAGCGCTACTGTGTGCCAGCCCCCGTGCTGGGCGGTGAGGCCCGGGTGGCCCTCACACAGCTCACAGCGGACTCAGGGGGAGCCAACGCAAATAATATGGTCATTCTGGGAGTGATACATGCCAAAAAAGAAAAAAAAAACCGACGGGGCGGGGCACTGTGGGTGGGGAGAGGCTTTTGTGGGGGAGAGAAGTTCCAGGAGCCCCGCGGAGGGTGGAAAGAGCAGGGAGAGCACGTCCCCGGCAGAGGAAACAAGCAAGTGCAAGGCCCTGGGGTGGGAAGGAGCTGGGTGTGCCCGGCCAGCAGAAGGAGGCAGGTGCGGCCGCATTGCCGCGAGGAGCGGGGTGGAACGGGAGAGGCGTCCGGCTGCGCGGCGCTGGTCCCCAGAGCGGAGCGCAGAGCCAGGCAGGGATGCTGGGCCAGTCCACGCTCACCCCGGACTGTCCCCGCCCAGGCTGTACAACCCCTACCGCTTTGACCGGACAACCCGCAGCAGCCCGTCCCGCTGGCCTTCGTGCCTTCTCTGCAGACCCAGGTACCCCACCCCCCCTGACCCTCGTTTCCCCAGAGCGAGCCAGGCGTGGGAGGAGCAGAGCAGTGGGAGGCCGGCGACGCGCCAGTGGGGCGCGGAGACCACGTTCCGCCCCGCAGCCCGGCAGCCTCTTGGCCCCCGCAGCACACAAGAGCCCCGCCCCCCCACAACTGAGACTCTGCGATAGCGTCCCTGGCAGTGGGCGCCGACTGCTTGCCAGGCCCTGAGTCCTGGCTCGCGAGCTCCCAGCGTCTCCGCGATGCTCATCGTCCCTGTGTTACGGATGGAACTGAGGCTCGCGTGGGGAGGTCATTAGCCCGGGACACGCAGCTGGTGCGGGTGCTCCAGGATTCAAACACACTGGTCCCCAAGTCACATTGTTTAGTGATTCTTGGGCCTTCACCCAGCCCGGATGCTTTGCCTCGTTTTAGACACGAGGAGGCCGTGAGGCCCAAGGACCTCCCCCTCACTCCCCTCGACCCTCCCCCGGCCCTGGCCCGCCGACCGCCCGGGCTGGCCTGAGCCCGTCCCCCTGCAGGAACTGCATCGGACAGAGCTTCGCCATGGCCGAGATGCGCGTGGCGGTGGCGCTCACGCTGCTGCGCTTCCGCCTGAGCGTGGACCGCACGCGCAAGGTGCGGCGAAGCCGGAGCTCATCCTGCGCACGGAGAACGGCGCTCTGGCTCAACGTGGAGCCGCTGCCCTCCGCGCGCCTGAGCGACGGCGCCGCTGCGGATCCCGGGGTCCAGGCCCCCCAGAGAGGCCGAGGCCCGCCCCGACGCCCAAGCCCCGCCCCCAACATCCTGCGGCAGAGACCGCTGCCCCTCTGAGTCCAGGTTCTGCTCCTGTAGACCGGTCGCCGCTGTCCAGCAGCCCTGATGGCTGGCCACGCCCTCAAGGCGAGGCTCGCCCCCTGAGGGTCTGACCCCGCCCCTTTAAATTTAGCCCCGCCCGACGGTCCAGCTCCGCCCCCAACATCCTGGGCAAGAGACCGCTGCTCTCCGAGTCCAGGTTCTGCTCCTGTAGGACCAGCCACCGCCTTGATGGTGCTGGCCACGCCCTCAGGGCGAGGCCCCGCCCCCGAGGGCTGACCCCGCCCCTTGAGGTTTAGTCCCGCCCCTGAGTGTCTGCACCTGTTCGCCTGAGGAACCAGAACTTTGGCCACGCCCCTGGGGAGCAGGCCACGCCCCCTAGTAGGCTCAGGCCCCGCCCCCAGGATACGGTGGCTTGTCCTCTGGCCTCACCCTGCGGAGCCAGGTCCCCCAGGCTGTGCCCACCAAACCTTCCGAGACCTGAGACGCACCCGCCCTGGCTGGCCTCCCAGGCTGGCCTCCCAGCGAGGACTTGGAGGCTGGAGGTGACAGCCCTGAAACCGGTGACGTCGCTCGTGGGGCGAACCGCTCAGGCGGCGTCCCAGGACCGGGGCTGTTTGCTTCTGTCCTTGTTCCTAAACCCGACCCTCCCGACCTCCCTTGTGCAAGGCCCTTTGCTGAGGTTCTGAGTGGGGGGTTTTGCAGAATAAAGCAAGGGCCTGCTCGACCCCGCCGCCCCTCCAACCGCCATGCACCAGCCCTCGCCCTGGTACGCCTGACGCAGGACGAGGGGCTCGGGCAGGTGGTGAAGCAACACGTGTGGGGGCCTGGGCTGGCTGGCGCTGGAGAGCCAGCTGTCCTAGACATAAACCCAGATGTTTTTGGGAACACTTGTGCCTTGTCATTTCTGTCAGAGGTCGCAGGCCTGAGTGCGTCTGCTGGCCCCGCCGGCGGGTGCGCGGACAGCCCCGTCCCGCCTTGCAGAGGGTGCTGACGGAGCAGTTCACCACGTGGAATGTTATTGCACCCACGGCCAGCGCGCTGCAGGAGGAGAGCGGGCCTGGCGCGCGGTGCAGCCTAGCAGTGGGTGGGACGCCGGTCGGGAAGCCTTTGGAGCTGAAGGAGGAGAGCGAGTGGGGGCAAGGGGGGAGGAAGGAGCATTCCAGGCGGAAGGAGCAGCGTCGGCAAATGCTCTAAGCTGAGGGACAGCACAGTGGCTGCAGATCTCCACGGCCGGGCCGGTGGCATCCGGGAGTTTGGGCAGGGTGGGGCAGGGCTGCGGCGATGGGCCAGTCCACAGGCAACAGGAGCCATCGGGTGGTGTGTGTGTGGTGGGGGGGGAGCAGGGGTCAGGCGGGACATGCAGATTAAGGCTGGGGGAGGTGGTTTCCGTGGGGGGCGACTGGAGGCTGGGACCCGGGGAAGAGGAGTGAGCGTCTAGCCGAGACAGGAAGGCGCTGGACGGAGGGCCTGGATCTAGCCATGGAGGCCGAGGCGAGAAGGCAGTGGGCCGTGACACCCAGTCCTTGGGACTCCGATGTGGAGTAGTCCCTATTGGATGCTATAGAAAGTGGGGCAGAGTTCTGAGGCCCATAGTGAGCTGGGGCCGCCCCGTGAACCTCTAGCCTTGGGCGACAGACCAGGCCGCTCGAGCCCGAGCGATGCTTAAGCTTCAGGATGAAGAATATGTAACGGTAAAGAGTAGTTAATTGCAAAGGCCCTTATATTGACTTGTCGTGGAGAACGGGAAGCCCTGGAGGGCCAGCAGAGAGCGGTAAAGATGGTAGAGAGGGCCGATGCCTCACGCCTGTCATCCTTGGCTCTTCTGGAAGGAGGCCGAGGGGACGCTCGATGTCAGGGGTTGAGACCAGCCTGAGCAAGAGCCGAGACCCTCTCTGCTACTAAAAATAAAAAAAAGAAAGAAGAAAATGAATTGGCCACAAGCCAAAATATATAAAACTAGCCGGGCATGGTGGTGCATGCCTTGTGGTCCCAGCTACTCCTTGGGTGGAGGCAGGAGGATCGCTTGGCCTAGGAGTTTGAGGCTTGCTGTGAGGGGCTGACGCCACGGCACTCACTGTCTAGCTCGGGCAACCAAAGCGACTCGTGTCCAAAAATAAAAATAAAATTGATGGGTATTCCTGTGTGCTCTTCCCATGTATTATGCTTGCTTCAGGTTCTCGTCACCACTAACTTTGGATCATGTTTTATTACCTGGTATTATTTTTTTAGAGACAGGGTCTTGGCTCTGTTTGCCCAGGCTGACTGCAGTGGCACATCAGTATCTCAGTATAACCTCAGACTCCATGGTCAGCGTCCTCCTGCATGCCCCTCAGCCTCCTGAGTAGCTGGGATAAGGAACGCGCACCTGCCTGCGGCTAACTTTTTGTAGACAGGGTCTTGCTATGCCTGCCCAGGCTCTCTCAACTCCTGGCCCAGAGGATCCTGTCGGCTTCAGCTCCCGAAGTGCTGGCTTACGGTGTGAGCCACCACGCACAGCCGTTATTTTACTTTACGAGTGGAAATGAGACCCCAGGGCGTGAATGACTCACCCAAGCCGTCCTACAAGGGTGTCCTTTATGGTGGGGCCTCAGCGGGAGTCCCTCGTCCTTTTGGTCCCCCTCCGAGGCTCCTGCTCCTGTTTTCTGCGGTCTTAGCCTCTCTTCGCCATAGAAGGGTGCTTTGGAGAACGGGCCTGGGCGGTGGGGTGGATCATCGGGTGCTGGGGAGTGGCAGTGGCCCCCCTGTCCTGCCGGGCGTCCCCAGGGTGGCCACCTGCTGAATGTCCCCTGTCCCAGGACTCCTAGGCTGAATGGGAAACGTCGGACCAGTGGTGTTGCCGATGCTGCCTCTGGCCACACCTGTGGCTGACCACACCTGGGCTGACACACCTTGCTGCCACAGTGTGCTGACACACTGTGCTGACACACTGTGCTGACCACACCTGTGTGACACACCTGACCCCACACCTGTCTGACCATGCCTGTGCTGACCACACTGACCACACCTGTGCTGACCACACCTGTGTGACCACACCTGACCACACCTGTCCTGACCACATCTTGACCACCACCTGTGTGACCACACCTGTCCTGCACCATCTGACCAACCTGTGCTGACCACCTGTGTGACCACACCTGATCAACCTGTCCTGACCACATCTGACACACCTGTGCTGCCACACCTGTGCGACCACACCGACCACCCCCTGTGCTGACCACACCTGACCACACCTTGTCCTGACCACCACCTGTGCTGACCACACCGTGCTGACACACCTGTCCTGGACAACGTTGGGCTGACCACACCTGTCTGACCGAGGGTCTCCGGGAGCCATTCATTTGCCAAACTCCTCCTGCTCCCTTCCGGTTGCAGCCCCGCATCTGCCAGCAGAAACCCACATCTATGGGGTCGACGTCGGCTCTGCCTCCATGGTATCTCCGATGTGCATCAAGGAGAGCCTGCGCCAGTTCCCGCCCGTGACGCTCGTCTCCCGCCGCTGCACGGAGGACATCAAGCTCCCGGACGGCCGGGTCCCGCTGCACGGAGGACATCAAGCTCCCGGACGGCCGGGTCATCCCCAAAGGTGCGCGCCCCGCCCCTGCCGCCCGCGCCCCGCCCCTGCCGCCCGCGCCCCGCCCCTGCCGCCCGCGCCCCGCCCCTGCCGTGTGGCTGCTCTCTGGCCCACGGGGGCCTGGCCAGTGCCCGTCCCCCGGGCGTCCTGTCCCTGAGGACGGGGCAGCTCTCCGCGTGCCTGTTGTTTCCGGGGCGTTACGGGGACCCCGGTTGTGTGCGCCCCGCTGGGGGAGACTGAGGCGGGGCAGTCCCGGCGCAAAGGAAGGAAGGCGGTGAGGCAGGTTGGCCAGGCGAGCGAGCGTGCGGGCGGCAGAGGATCAGCTTCACCCACTCGCTGAATATCCCCCGGAGGCCGAGCGCCGCCCTGGGCGATGCGGGGAGCGGGAGGTGGGGGAGGCGCAGCAGCAGTTGCAGACGCTCCCAGGAATGAGCCAAGGACCGAAGCAGCCCCAAATAGGGAGGGCGGGCTCTACCTGGGGAGGAAAGCAGGGAGGGCTGCCTGGAGGAAGGGACCTGGGCGGTGAGCCTTGGAGGTCGGAAGTGAGACAGAGAGAGAGAGAGAGAGAGCATGTTCATGGAACAGAGCCTCGGGGAGTGCAGAGTGCGAAAGACCTCGACTGCCAGGTGGTAGCACTCCAACTTGATTCTCAGGGCGCTAGGGAGCCAAGGGAGGCGTTTGAGTCGAGGAGGAGCAACGTCAGATCTGTGGGTGAGAAAGAGCTCTGCGTGGCCGGCGTGGCCGCCAGAAAGGAGAGGATGGTGTCCTCTTAGGGAACCGCCGGGGGAGCGGATCGGGGAGCAGCATTTTTCAGGGCAGGAGGGACAGGCCGTGGTGGCAGGTGGCTCATGGGAATGCCCCAGCTCCAGGGAGACCCAGGGGAAGGGAGGTTTCTGGGGGAAGCTCTGGCGTCCCCTGGCCCCACTGACCCCAGCTGTCGTCCCAGGAATCATCTGTCTGGTCAGCATCTACGGAACCCACCACAACCCCACGGTGTGGCCCGACTCCAAGGTGAGCTGCTGCCCCAGCACCCTCCCTGCCCCTCCCGGCCTCCCTCCCCAGAAAGGGCAGCCCTGGGGCAGCGGGGCCTCCCCTGCCCCCCACCCCGGGGAGCCAGGCAGCAGGGCTGGTTGCAGAGACCGGCCCCTCCCCCTGTATTCACCCGCTCACGAATTCGCTAGGTGCACAGATATTTACTGAGCGCCTACTGTGTGCCAGCCCCCGTGCTGGGCGGTGAGGCCCGGGGGCCCTCACACAGCTCACAGCGGACTTCAGGGGGAGCCAACAGCAAATAAATATGGTCATTCTGGGTAGTGATACATGCCAAAAAAAAAAAAGAAAAAAAAAACCGACGGGGGCGGGCACTCGTGGGCATGGTGGGGAGAGGCTTTGTGGAGGGAGAGAAGTTCCAGGGAGCCCCCGCGGAGGGTGGAAAGAGCAGGGAGAAGCACGTCCCCGGCAGAGGAAACAGCAAGTGCAAAGGCCCTGGGGTGGGAAGGAGCTGGGTGTGCCCGGCCAGCAGAAGGAGGCAGGTGCGGCCGCATTGCCGCGAGTGAGCGGTGGGGTGGAACGGGAGAGGCGGTCCCGGGCTGCGGCGGCGCTGGTCCCCAGAAGCGGAGCGCAGAGCCAGGCAGGGATGGCTGGGCCAGCTCCCACGCTCACCCCGGACTGTCCCCGCCCAGGTGTACAACCCCTACCGCTTTGACCCGGACAACCCGCAGCAGCGCTCCCCGCTGGCCTTCGTGCCCTTCTCTGCAGGACCCAGGTACCCCACCCCCCTGACCCTCGTTTCCCCCAGAGCGAGCCAGGCGTGGGAGGAGCAGAGCCAGTGGGAGGCCGGCGACGCGCCAGTGGGGCGCGGAGACCACGTCCCGCCCCGCAGCCCGGCAGCCTCTTTGCGCCCCCGCCAGCACACAAGGAGCCCCCGCCCCCCACAACTGAGACTCTGCGATAGCGTCCCTGGGCAGTGGGCGCCGACTGCTTGCCAGGCCCTGAGTCCTGGGCTCGCGAGCTCCCAGCGTCTCCGCGATGTCATCGTCCCTGTGTTTACGGATGAGGGAACTGAGGCTCGCGTGGGGAGGTCATTAGCCCGGGACACGCAGCTGGTGCGGGGCTGCTCCAGGATTCAAACACACTGGTCCCCAACGTCACATTCGTTTAGTGATTCTTGGGGCCTTCACCCAGCCCAGGATGCTTGCCTCGTTTTAGACACGAGGAGGCACGTGAGGCCCAAGGACCTCCCCCTCACTCCCCTCGACCCCTCCCCCGGCCCTGGCGCCCGCCGACCGCCCTGCGGCTGGGCCTGAGCCCCGTCCCCCCCTGCAGGAACTGCATCGGACAGAGCTTCGCCATGGCCGAGATGCGCGTGGCGGTGGCGCTCACGCTGCTGCGCTTCCGCCTGAGCGTGGACCGCACGCGCAAGGTGCGGCGGAAGCCGGAGCTCATCCTGCGCACGGAGAACGGCATCTGGCTCAACGTGGAGCCGCTGCCTCCGCGGGCCTGAGCGACGGGCGCCGCTGCGGATCCCGGGGGTCCAGGCCCCGCCCAGAGAGGCCGAGGCCCCGCCCCCGACGGCCCAAGCCCCGCCCCCAACATCCTGCGGGCAGAGACCGCTGCCCTCTGAGTCCAGGTTCTGCTCCTGTAGGACCGGTCGCCGCTGTCCAGCAGCCTGATGGTGCTGGCCACGCCCCTCAAGGCGAGGCTCCGCCCCCTGAGGGTCTGACCCCGCCCCTTTAAATTTAGGCCCCGCCCCCGACGGTCCAAGCTCCGCCCCCAACATCCTGGGGGCAGAGACCGCTGCTCTCCGAGTCCAGGTTCTGCTCCTGTAGGACCAGCCACCGGCCTGATGGTGCTGGCCACGCCCCTCAGGGCGAGGCCCCGCCCCCGAGGGTCTGACCCCGCCCCTTGAGGTTTAGGTCCCGCCCCCTGAGTGTCTGCACCTGTTCGCCTTGAGGGAACCAGACTTGGCCACGCCCCCTGGGGAGCAGACCACGCCCCCTAGGGCTCAGGCCCCGCCCCCAGGATACGGTGGCTTGTCCTCTGGCCTCACCCCTGCGGAGCCAGGTCCCCCAGGCTGTGCCCACCAAACCTTCCGAGGACCTGAGACGCACCCGCTCCTGGCTGGCCTCCCAGGCTGGCCTCCCAGTCGAGGACTTGGAGGCTGGAGGGTGACAGCCCTGAACCCGTGACGTCGCTCGTGGGGGCGAACCGCTCAGGCGGCGTCCCAGGACCGGGGCTGTTTGCTTCTGTCCTTGTTTCCTAAACCCGGACCCCTCCCGACCTCCCTTGTGCAAGGCCCTTTGCTGAGTGTTCTGATTTTTGCAGAATAAAAGCAAGGGCTGCTCGTACCCCGCCCGCCCCTCCAGCCCCTGGCTCAGCCGGGCCCTGGCACCTGTAGCCCTGCACTGCAGGAACGAGGGGCTCGGGGCAGGTGTGAAGCAACCGAGGGGGGCGCTGGGCTGGGCTGGGCGGCTGGGAAGCCACTGGTCCTAGGACATAAACCCAGATGTTTTTGGGAACAGCTTGTGCACTTGGTCATTTCGTCAGCAGGTCGCAGGCCTGAGTGGTCTGCTGGCCCCGGCCCGGTGCGCGGACAGGCCCCGTCCCTGCCTTTGCAGAGGGTTTGCTGAGCGAGCAGTTCCACGTGGGAATGTTTTTTGCCACCCACGGCCAGCGCTGCAGAGGAGAGGGGCCTGGGGCTGGGTGAGCCTAGCAGTGGGGTGGGAGGCCGGTCGGGGAGAGCTCTTTGGGAGCTGAAGTAGGAGAAGCCGAGTGGGTGACAAGGGGGAGGGAAGAGCATTCCAGGCGGAAGGAGCAGCGTCTGCAAATGCTCTGAGCTGAGGGACAGCACAGTGTGCTGCAGGAATCCTCCAGGGCCGGGCGCGGCTGGATCCGGGGAGTTTGGGCAGGGTGGAGGCAGGGTGCTGGGCATGGGCCACGTTCACAGGCAACAGGGAGCCATCGGGGGTGTGTGTGTGTGTGTGGGGGGGTGAGCAGGGTCAGGGCGGGACATGGTCAGATTTAAGGCTGGCGTGGAGGTGGTTTCCGTGGAGGGGCGGACTGGAGGCTGGGACCCTGGGGAAGAGGGAAGCTGAGGTCTAGCCGAGACAGGAAGGGCTTGGATGGAGATGGCCTGGATCTAGCCGTGGAGGCCGAGGGGAGGAAGGCAGTGGGCGTGACACCCAGGTCCTTGGGACTCGATGGTGGAGTAGTCCCTAGGATGGGGCTATAAAAGGTGGGGCATGGAGTTTGAGGCCATAGTGAGCTGGGGCCGCCCCGCTGAACTCTAGCCTGGGCGACAGAGCCAGGCACGGCTCGAGCCCGAGCATGCTTGAAATCTTCAGGAGAAGACGAATGATAAACCGGTAAAGAAGTAAGTTAATTTGCAAAGGGCCTTGGATATTGACGTTTGTCGTGGGAGAAACGGGGAGCCCTGGAGGGTCCTGAGCAGAGGAGCGGTAAGATTTGGTATGTAGCTGGGCGAGGCAGCTCACGCCTGTCATCCTTGCTCTCTGGGAGGCCGAGGCGGGAGGATTGCTCGAGGTCAGGAGTTTGAGACCAGCCTGAGCAAGAGCGAGACCCTCATCTCTACTAAAAAAAAAAAAGAAAGAAAGAAAGAAATGAATTGGCCAACTAAAAAATATATAAAAAAACTAGCCGGGCATGGTGGTGCATGCCTGTGGTCCCAGCTACTCCTTGGGAGGCTGAGGCAGGAGGATCGCTTGAGCCTAGGAGTTTGAGGTTGCTGTGAGCGAGGCTGACGCCACGGCACTCACTGTAGCCGGGGCAACAAAGCGACTCTGTCTCAAAAAAAATAAAAATAAAATTGATGGAGTACTTCCTGTGTGCTCTTCCCATGTATTATGTTCTCAGTTCATCCTCACACTAACTTTTGAGATCATGTTTTATTACCTGAGTATTATTTTTTTAGAGACAGGGTCTGGCTCTGTTGCCCAGGCTGGACTGCAGTGGCACAATCATATCTCACTATAACCTCAGACTCCTGGGCTCAAGCGATCCTCCTGCCTCAGCCTCCTGAGTAGCTGGGACTACAGGAACGCGCCACCATGCCTGGCTAACTTTTTGTAGAGACAGGGTCTTGCTATGCTGCCCAGGCTGGTCTCAAACTCCTGGCCTCAGGCGATCCTTCGGCTTCAGCCTCTGGAAGTGCTGGGCTTACAGGTGTGAGCCACCACGCACAGCCTGTTATTTTACTTTACAGAGGTGGAAACTGAGACCCCAGGGTGAAATGACTCACCCAAGGTCCTACAAGGGTGTCCTTATGGTGGGGCCTCAGCGGGAGTCCCTCGTCCTTTTCTGTCCCACCCCCGAGGCTCCTGGTCCTGGTCTGGGTCCTTAGCCTCTCTTCGCATAGAAGGGTGTGTGAGGAGGGCCTGGGGTGGGGTGGACCATCAGTGCTGGGGGTGGCAGTGGCCCCTGTCCTGGGGCGTCCCCAGGTGGCACCTGCTGGAATTGTCCCTGTCCCAGGTACTCCTAGGCTGAATGGGAAACGTTCGGGAGCCAAGTGGCTGTTGCCGATGCTGCCTCTGCCACACCTGTGCTGACCACACCTGTGCTGACACACCTGTGCTGACACACCTGTGCTGACCACACCTGACCACACCTGTGCTGACCATGCCTGTGCTGACCACACCTGACCACACCTGTGCTGACCACACCTGACCACACCTGTCCTGACCACACCTGTGCTGACCACATCTGACCACACCTGTGCTGACCACACCTGTCCTGACCACATCTGACCACACCTGTCCTGACCACATCTGACCACACCTGACCACACCTGTGCTGACCACACCTGTGCTGACCACACCTGACCACACCTGTCCTGACCACATCTGACCACACCTGTCCTGACCACACCTGACCACACCTGTCCTGACCACATCTGACCACACCTGTGCTGACCACACCTGACCACACCTGTCCTGACCACACCTGTGCTGACCACACCTGTGCTGACCACACCTGTCCTGACCGAGGGTCTCCGGGAGCCCATCATTTGCCAAACTCCTCCTGCTCCCTCCCGGTGCAGCCCCGCCATCTGCCAGCAGAAACCCACATCTATGGGGCCGACGTCGCCTCTGTCCCTTCCTATGGGCGGCGGGCACGCGCCTGCCTTTCTCTGCACCTGACTTTCCCTGCTGGCGCGGCTCCCCCAGGTCGCCGCGTGAGCTTCCACGGAGGGCCGTGGGGGCGAGCGGCGGAGAGCCAGGAGGGGCAGCGCGTGGTCGCTGGCCTGGGCTCTGCTGCACCTGCGAGTGTAACCCCAACGCGCGCCGCCCGCCCGGGGGGCCTTGGGCACCCGGCCGACTGCCCGACCTCGCGCCCTCCCGAGTGTGCAGGCGGCGCCCTCTGCTGGACGGACTGGCGACAAAGGGCGCCGCCGAGGAGTCTACTGTTGATTAGTTCCCTGCGTGCGCCCGCGTGTTGGAGTGTGACCGCGTGTGCGTGTGTGACCGCGCGTGCATTTGAGTGGAGGTGTGTGCACGTGTTGGAGTGCGTGCACGCATGTGTTATGCAAACGCGTGTGGGCGTGACGTGCGTGCATGTGTGTGCACGTGAATGTGCGTGTGTAAGCGTGTGTACACGTGTGTGTGTATGTGTCGGTGTCACTGAGCAGCTGTCACAGTCCACACTGGCTGTGCTGTCAGAGCCCCTGCACCGTCCCCAGGTCTGACCCTGGCAGCGCCGGTGGGACGTTCTGGAGAAATAACGCCCATGGAAGCAGCCCTGAGTAACGGGGGGGTGGGTGTCGGTGGGTCGGTTACCTGTTCCCTGGCTTGGGAGGACTCCGAGGTGCATGTCTTTTCTTTTTTTGAGACAGAGTCTCACTCTGTTGCCTGGGCTAGAGTGCCGTGGCGTCAGCCTCGCTCACAGCAACCTCAGACTCCTGGGCTCAGGTGATCCTCCTGCCTCAGTCTCCCGAGTAGCTGGGACTACAGGCATGCGCCACCATGCCCGGCTAATTTTTTTCTATATATATTAGTTGGCCAATTAATTTCTTTATATTATTTTTTAAGTAGAGACGGGGTCTCGCTCTTGCTCAGGCTGGTTTCAAACTCCTGACCTTGAGTGATCCTCCCACCTCGGCCTCCCAGAGTGCTGGGATGACAGGCGTGAGCCACCGCACCCAGCACGGTGCATGTCCTGTGCTGTCTCCCAGCGGCACCAGGCAGGGCTGAGCCCTGGCTGTCCACAGTGGAAATTCCTCTACTGAGTTCCCCCTAACTCCTGTGTTTTCCTTCTGGTCTCACTTCCCCACTGCCCTGCTGGTGTTTCCTGGGATCACCTCCCAAATAAACAACTAGCAGTGGAATTCCTGTCTTGGGGTCACCTCCAAATTGGTATTTGCACTTCCATATACATATATAAATATAGGATTTGCACTTGAATCCTTGCATCAGGGTCTACTGCCAGGGAACCCAAGCACACATCATCTCTCTCCTTCAATCCCCATGGGCATATCCGTTGTGCCCTTTTTATGGAGGAGGAACATGAGGCTCAGAGAGGGCAAGTCACCCGCCCAAGGCCACACGGCCGAACAGTAGGAGTGTTTGCTCCTCTTCTGAGAGCCTCCTCCCTGGCGAGGGACACAGAATGAACAGAGGACAAGTTGTAAGTGTGGAAATTTAAAAGGGAAATCCGCTTTCTGCTTCTGCTCCCCAGCCCCAACCCGGCAGTTTGGTGTGATTTCTTTCAGTTTTTAAAAATTGCATATATAAACTTTTTCAGCGTATGTACATTTATATACATGTAACCGGTTTTTTGAATACTCTGAACTTGTGGGGAAATGTATGGTTATCTGTTATTGTATAATGAACCAGCAGGAAACATAGGGAGGTTAAAATGATACACTTCTTTTAGTTTGCTCACACATTTATAATTTGGACAGGGCTCAGCAGGGACGGTTTTCTCCACCTTGCACAGCGTCAGCCCGGACAGCTCATGTGAGGCTGGAAGAGCCACTTGCAAGACGGCTTATGCTCATGGCATGCTATCGGCTGAAGTTCTCAGTTCCTTTCACTGAGGGCCTCTCCACGGGGATGCTTGGGCTTCCTGTAAACACGGGAGCTGTGTCCAAGAGCGTCCATTCTGGCCGGGCATGGCGGATCCAATCCACACCAGTAATCCCAGCACTCTGAGGGGACTGAAGCCAGGGGAATATTTGAGGCCAAGAGTTTGAGCCAGCCTGGTTCAAACATAGTGAGAGCCCATCTCTATAAACGTTTTATAAAATTAGCCAGGCATGGTGGCATGCACCTATAGTCCCAAACACTCAGGAGGCTGAGGTGGGAGGATTGTTTGAGCCTGGGGAATTTGAGGCTGCAGCGAGCTATGATCGCACTGCTGCACTTCAACCTGGATGACAAAGTGAGACTCTGGCTCTAAAACAAAACAAAACAAAACCAAAAACAAAAAGAAGAAAAGAAAAGAAAAACTGGCATATATTCCAATATTCCAACAAACCTAGAAAGAAGGTTTGTGACTTTCTTATAACCTAGATGCTGAATGCCCAGAAGTCACCAAGACAGCCCAGATTCAAGGAGAGGGGAATTAGACTTCACCTCTGTATCGCAATTCTTCGGAGAAACAGAACCAATAAAATCGATCAATCTATCTTTATATATTTATCTTAAGATATATAGCATGTATGTGTGTATATATATATATATATATATATATATATATATATTTTTTTTTTTTTTTTTGAGACAGAGTCTCACTTTGTTGCCCAGGCTAGAGTGAGTGCCGTGGTGTCAGCCTAGCTCACAGCAACCTCAAACTCCTGGTCTCAAGCAATCCTCCTGCCTCAGCCTCCCGAGTAGCTGGGACTACAGGCATGCGCCACCATGCCCGGCTAATTTTTTCTATATATTTTTAGTTGTTCGCTAATTTCTTTCTATTTTTTTTTTTTTTTGAGACAGAGTCTCACTTTGTTGCCCAGGCTAGAGTGAGTGCCGTGGCGTCAGCCTAGCTCACAGCAACCTCAAACTCCTGGTCTCAAGCAATCCTCCTGCCTCAGCCTCCCGAGTAGCTGGGACTACAGGCATGCGCCACCATGCCCGGCTAATTTTTTTATATACATATCAGTTGGCCAATTAATTTCTTTTCTATTTTATAGTAGAGACGGGGTCTCGCTCTTGCTCAGGCTGGTTTTGAACTCCTGACCTTGAGCAATCCGCCCGCCTCGGCCTCCCAGAGAGCTAGGATTACAGGCATGAGCCACCGCGCCCGGCCAATTTCTTTCTATTTTTAGAAGAGACGGGGTCTCTTGCTCTTGCTCAGGCTGGTCTCGAACTCCTGAGCTCAAAGGATCCTCCCACCTCGGTCTCCCATAGCTCTGGGATGACAGGCGTGAGCCGCCGCGCCCGGCTGGAGGACCACATTTTGAGTATCCAGTTCTTATAACTCGTGGCTGCAAAAGTCCCTTTCTTTTTTTGGGGGGGGGCGGCTGGGCTGGCTCCAGGACCCTCCAAGCCCCTCCAGGATGTACAGCTGGATCAGACAGCGTTTCAAGGCGTGAGGATGGAAGGGGTAGGAAAGCTGGGGCATCTCCCCAACGTTCGATTCCTTGCAGGGGAAATGTCCATCCCAGTTCTCTCACTCGGCAGCTCTGCCCTCCAAACTGACCCTTGACTTGGAGCCTGACCTCAGAGGGGCCAAGACGGCCCCACAGGGGAACTTGAGACCGTGTCTGGACAAGAAGTGCCTCCTTTCAGGCTGACACCCCATTTCCCAGATGGGGAGACTGAGCCCAGCTGGCCGGCCCCGCCCACAGTCAGGGCAAGGACAGGGCGGCACGGGGACTCCGCTCAGGGTCCCCTGGCTCTGCCCTCCCGGCCTGGGCCCCGTGTGTGCTCACGGCCCCTCTCAGCCCCACCCCCAGCGCCTCCCCTCTGTCCTTGGACGCTGAGCCTGGCCTCCGAGTTTGCCCTTCCAGGTGGGCCCTTCCTAGCCAGAATCGGACCCAAGTAACCCCCAGGGAGACTGGATTCTTTGTTCCGGTCCCTAGCAGTCATGCCTCAGCCCGGGGCTGGGCTGCCAGGAGGCAGGACTTGAACTCCTGCCACACCGTGTGGCCGGGCCTCTAATCTGTAATCGTCCTGACTCTGCTCTGAGTAACGAGGCACGGTGTCCTCCCCAGCCAGCCCGCGTTTGGGGAGGGACTCGGGGGAGGTGGCTTGATCCAGAGCGTGTCCTGGTCCTGCTTAGGCAGCTCCTGGGCCCTCAAGTTCCTGCTTTCCCCTGGCCCTGGAGGGTGGGGACGGCTGTAAATCTGGGGGCCCCGAGTCACCCTCACCCCTGGTTTGCTCGGGAGGTGCTGAGCTGTGAAGTTCCGGTTCCCACTCTGCGTGTAGCCGAGAGCTGGTTCCTCTCTGTACCCAACTGGTCCCGCCCTCGTGCCCTCGTGTCTTCTTGGCCTAGTGCCCAGGCAGGGCGGAGGTGGCCGGGTCCGCGGGGATTGGCTGGCCCAGCCGGCCCGGCCTGCTGTGGGGCAGGGGTGCCCAGCGCCAAAGGCGTCCCAGGAGGAGGGGAGAAGGAGTTGTGTGGGCGAGCTGCTCCCCAGAGAAGGTGCCCGGCTGGGGGGCGGGGCTGGGGGGTCCTGGCCTGGGTTTGGGAGGGGACTGCCCGAGGCTGGGGCGGCTCCAGGCTGCCAGCCCAGGGGACTGGTGGTTTCCCAGTAACTGAGCTCCTGGCAACCTCCCTGTGATTCAGCTGGGCCTTTCTAAACTGGAATCAGCTTGCTCTCTCCTCCTCCTCCTCCTCTTCCTCTGCCCCTGGGGCCCCTGGGTGTCCCTCCCTGCTCTCAGCCCCAGCGTCCCCATCTCTGAGCCCTCCCCCGCCCCCGCCCCCTGCACCGGGCCTGGCGCCCCTCCCCTCCCCTGGGCCTCAGGAGCTGCCCCTGCACCCGCCTGCCCTGCAGGATGCCCCAGCTGAGCCTGTCCTGGCTGGGCCTGGGGCCGGCGGCCGCCTCCCCGTGGCTGCTGCTGCTGCTGCTCGGGGCCTCCTGGCTCCTGGCCCGCGTCCTGGCCTGGGCCTGCGCCTTCCACGCCACCTGCCGCCGCCTCCGCTGCTTCCCGCAGCCCCCCAAACGCAACTGGTTCTGGGGTCACCTGGGCCTGGTGAGTGTGGCAGCAGGACGGGGCTGGGGGTCAGGGCGGGGGACGTCCCCAGGGCGGGGAAGGGGCTGGGGGGCCGGGGGCGGAGGTGGGCTGGGGTCGGGGCGGCAGAGAAGCGAGGGCGGCGGCTCACTCTCCCCTGCTCGCTGCCTCGCTGCTCTGCTGTGCCGCCCGGCCTCTGTCCCCTCCCTGTCCTCCCACCCGGCCTGCTCAGCGTCCTCTTCCCGCCTGTCTCCCCCTGGGGCACCGGGGGGCTCGTGGGGAGGCTGCACAGGGCAGGGCCCTGGTGCCCCGTTCTGCACGGCGGCGCTGGAGGGCTCCTGAGGGCACCATGCAGGGTCTGTCCCTGCCGGGCCCGTGTCTGCTGGCCTGGGCCGGGGTCTGCACCTCCCGTGGGAATTTGCCAAGACCCCCTTCCTTCCCTGCAGCCGCAGGGCAGGGCGCAGCCGGGCTGGAGGAGAGGTGTGGCCGTGCTCTGTGTCCCTGCCTTTCCTCCCGCACGGCACGGCACGTTCTCTTTCTTATCCTGCCCTCCCTGGCAGAAGGGCTCTCTGCGGCCTTGGCCCTCCCAGCCGCACTCCCGGGAGGAGGCTCCTCACGCCGCCGTCCTAGCCTCATCCCCAGGGGCCTGTCCTCCGTCCCGAGTGGGCTCCTGTTGCCAGAACACACTTTGGATCTGCTGTCACCCGTAAAAGCGCCACCTCCGAGGCCGGGACCCCTCTCCCTCCAGCTTCCTTCTTTCCCTCCTTTCTGTCTTCGGCCCCCTGGGGACGTCCGGTCCCTCCTCCCTCCCAAGAGCGTCCCGTCAACCCTCCTGGCTGGGCTGCCCCGCGCTCACCTTTCTGTCACTTGCTCCTGGGCCGAAGGCTCTTGCCGGCCCGGCCGTTTGGAGAACGTTTCCTTCCGATCCGTGCGGCGGCCGCTATTCACTGACCCCTTTCCACAGTGACTGACGCTAGAGAGAGTCACAGAACGGCACAGACGGGCGACATGTGGGTCCCCGCCCGCCCCCTGTGCAGGGCACCTCGTTCTCTTTGCGCCCCAACTGCCGGCCGGCTCGCCGTGCCTCGGACAACGAGCTGTGTCCACTCACTGCCTCTATTTCCCCGCTCGCCCCTCGCCGCCCCCGTGCCCCCTGGGATGACCGCGGCCTCCAGGCCCCCAGACCCCAGGGGTGGCTCCTGGCCCGGCTCCTCCGTCTCTCTGACTTGCTGGCCGCCCCGTCCCGCCCCCACCTCGTCTTCTCCTGGGTCCAGGACGCCACCGTCCCCAGGTCCCCTGGGCCTCCCCCTGGGCCCCCTGTCTCTGCTGTTGTCACCCTCCCACCGTGGAGGTCCCCAGGGCCCACCAGCCCCTCCTGCCTCTCCCCTGCCCCCAGCCCCTCCTCCCCCAGGGCTCCAGCTTCGCCAAGGAGCGTCGGGGTGGGGGTCCCAGCTCACGGCTCTCCTGAGCAGGGGGCCACGGGCCCTCCTCGTGGGGGTCTCGCGACACCTCCAGCCCACCAGGTGTGAGTCCAGACTCACCGCCCCGCCCCGCCCTGCCCCACTCTCGGTCTAGCACATCCACTGCCCAGACCCCACGCTTTGGGGTCCCCTCACTTTCTTTCTTTCTTTCTTTCTTTCTTTCTTTCTTTCTTTCTTTCTTTCTTTCTTTCTTTCTTTCTTTCTTTCTTTCCTTCCTTCCTTCCTTCCTTCCTTCCTTCCTTCCTTCCTTCCTTTCTCTCTCTCCCTTTCCTTTCCTTTCCTTTCCTTTCCTTTCTTTCCTTCCTTCCTTCCTTCCTTCCTTCCCTTCCTTCCTTCCCTTCCTCCTCCTTCCTTTCTCTCTCCTCCTTTCCTTTTCTTGTTGAACCGAGTCTCGCTTTTGCCGCAGGCTACAGCTGAGGCCGTGGCATCAGCCTGAGCTACAAGCCGCCTCAATCTCCTGGTCAAGTTGATCTCCTGCTCAAGTTCCCCAGTAGGCTGGGCTACAGGCATCCCATCTGCTGGCAATTTTTTCTATATTTTTTTAATTGGCCATTAATTCTTGTCTATTTTTAGTCAGAGACAGGTTCACTCTTGCTCAGGCTGGTCTCGAACTCCTGGACCTGAGTGCTAGATTACAGGCCTGAAGCACCGGACGCCTCACCCCCTTTCTCTCCTCTTTCTCTCGCTCAAGCATCCTGTCCCTCAGCATGTCTGGCAGAGCTGCCTGGACAGAGTGAGGGGGAGGGAGGGAGAAGGGGGAGGGATGGGAGGGAGGGTGTGAGGGAAGGGGGAGGAGGCCACAGAGTGAGGAACAGGCAAACACGGGTAAAAGAAACACATGCACGCACTGACACCACACATCCGTGTCTGCCTGTCATCACCTGTGCTCCCATTCCTCTACATTTCTATGTCTTCACCTCTCCTTTGTATCTATCCGGCCTGTCTGCCTGTCCGTCCTATTTCTGTCCACCCATCCACCCCCCACGCGCCTATCTAGGGAAAGACTCAGAGAGGAAGAGGGTGGGGGCGAGAGGCACATAGACACAGACACAGACGGAGACTGACCGAGAGAAGCTGACCCCACAGCGGGTGTAGACCGATAATCCAGGCAGAGGGGCTGAGAGGGGTGGGGCGCGCGGTGGCCAGGGGGCTGCAGCGGGCGGTGGCAGCGTCCGAGGCTCCTGCCAGGCCCGGTGTCAGCCTTGACTGTCCCCCAGGCCCAGAGCAACGAGGAGGGCATGCGGCTGATCGAGGACCTGGGCCACCACTTCCGTGACGTCCACCTCTGGTGGGTCGGGCCCTTCTACCCCGTCCTGCGGCTCGTGCACCCTAAGTTTGTTGCCCCCCTGCTCCAGGCCTCAGGTATCTCTCCCAGGCGCCTATGCCCCCAGCCTCTTCCCTGCCTCTGCTCCCAGCCTCCCCACCCCCCGCCCCGGACAGGCCAGGCTGAGCAGGGAGACAGAAACAACCGACAGAGACCATGGCTCTGCCAACATCCTGCTGGGCGACTCCGGGCAGGCCCCCGGCTCTCTCTGGCTACTCAGGCCTCTTCCAGCTGTGAGTAATGGCAACTCCACCCGGTGTGGTGTAAGCAAAGGAAGAGAATCTATGGACTGTAAAGTCCAGGAAGGGTGGCCTTCAGGCACGGCTGGATCCAGGTGTTTAAACAATGCCCCCGGGAGCCTGTCTTCATCTCTGACTTCTGCATCTCTCTGTGGTGGCTTCACTCTCAGGCTGGTAAAGGCGGGTCTCAGAAGCTCGGCCCCCGCGGAGAATTCCCTGTGTTCACAGGATCCCCTTAAATGTGCTGGCCCAGGTCCCAGGCCCAATTCTGAGACGGGCATTTCCCGGGTGAGGAAACTGAGGCTTAGGGAGGCACAGTGACCTGTCAAGGTGGCGCAGCGTGCCGAGGCCTCTGTTGTCATCCGGGGCTCTCTCTGCTGCCCCAGCGGCCTGGGGGGGGGGGGAGAGACCCTCAGAGGAAAGGTGGGTGGGAGGAAGGGGGGTCGGAGGAAGACCGCCAGCCCCCGGATGGGGAAACTGTGTCAGGCCAGCCGGGGGCTGCTCTGGTGGCGGGGGGAGTCGTGGGGGCTCATCGAGGTGGGCGGAGCTCAGCGAGTGAGGGGCGGTGTCCCCTGGTCTCTGGGGACGGAGGAGCCCTCGGCCGGAAGCGCTCAGTGCTCCGCGGGGAGCGGGCGGGGCTGAGGAGGTCGGGCCGCGTCTGGGCCACCCGGGGCCTCCAGCAGGGCCATATTTAAGCCCCATCTGGGGCTCGTTTGTGGGGCACCCCCAGGCTGTGTCAGACCATTTCGGGCCCATGCCAGGGCATGTCGTGTTGTGCCAGAGCAGGTCACGTATGTTGTGGCCACGGCCAGGAACGTGCCGACACGTGCCAGGCCATGTCCCGTGTCCCAGGTCCATGTCAGGACATGTCAGGGAGTGCGGAGCCACTCAGGGTGTCTCAGGTCCCTCTGAAGCTGTCTTGTCAGGTGCTGGGCTGTGCTCGCATGGTGCAGAGTATGTGGGACCATGTAGTAGCTATGTCAGGGCATGACGGGGCGTGCTGTGCTACGTCAGGGCATGTCATGCTGTCCCGTCTGCTGCAGCCTGGTCTGGTCCCCCCCTCCCCCGCCCCGTCCTTCCTGCTTCCTCTGCCCTCGGCCCCCTTCCTGCTGTGCTGGCCTTGGAGCGGGCAGTGCAACCCCCGGCTGGTGACCTCCGTCTCCCACCCAACGCCCTCCCCTCCCCTCTCTGTGTCCCCTGATGGTCCTCATTGACGTCAGCTGCCATCACACCCAAGGATAGGACTTTCTACAGCTTCCTGAGACCCTGGCTGGGTGAGTAACTGCAGGAGGAGGGGTCTGGGGACACTCTTGGGGGCCAGCGGAAGGTGCTCCCCAGGACCACGGCCCCTGCCTGCCCCTCCTAGGGGACGGGCTCCTGCTCAGCGCCGGTGACAAGTGGAGCCGCCACCGCCGCATGCTGACGCCCGCCTTCCACTTTGACATCCTGAAGCCCTACGTGCAGATCTTCAACAGGAGTGCGGGCATCATGCACGTGAGTCCTCGCACCCAGGGCCCCAGCTGGAGCTTTGGGAACGTGGGAGTGACCCCGGACAGATCTGTCTGAGATCTGGGCCCTGCTGGGTGGCTTTGGGGCCCTTGCTTTTCCTCTTGGAGCCTCGGTTTCTTCGTCTGTGAAACGGGCGTGATGATCCCTGCGCAAAGAGCGGTCACGCTGATGGAATGGAGTCACGCGTCCGGCACGTGGCAGGTGCTCAGAAGGCAGTGACGTCTAGTCTGTCCACGGAAGTCCCCTGGACGTCAGGTGACCGTGACGGAGCCTGCAGGGTAGCTCTTTCTGCGAGACAAACCACTTTCAAGCTCACTGGCCGTGCTGGGCCGACTGGACGGTCCCAGTTGTCCCTTGTGCTCCGGGAGGCCAGCCTGGGCTTGCTAGCATGGCGGGGCCCGGGTTCCGAGAGAGGGATCAGAGACATTCGGTGCCTCTCGGCGCTGGGTTTCGGAGCCGGCACGCCGTCCTGTGTCCACGTGCTGCTGGCCAAGCCGGGGCCCACGGGCAGCTCAGCTTCCAGGGTGGAGAGAAGGGTCCGCCCCGCAACGGGAGGGCTGCAAATCGCATCGCAGAGGGGGAGAGATGGAAAATCGAGGGCATTTCTGCAATCACGCAGCGCTGTGCTAGTGATGAGGGTGACAGTGAGGGCTACCATCGATTGAGCACTTGCTGTATGCCAGAGGCTATACAGCAATTCCACGACATACGTCGACTCTGATCTAATCTGCACAGCCCTGTGAGGTAGAGAGGACTGTGATGGCCACATGATGGATGAGGAAACTGAGGCTCAGAGAGGTCGGGGAGCTTGCCCAAGGTCACCCAGCTAGTAGCGAGCTGGGCATGGTGGAGCAGGGCTTGGTTTAACTGGCAACGAAGCAGGCCAGCTGTTCTGACTGTTTCTAAAGATGTGACAGGCGGGACGGGGCGAGGGCAGTGAGCTGGCCGAGGGCGCTCAGCACGGGGGGCAGAGCTGGAACTTGAGCTCAGGTCCTGACCCCCAGCCTTGGGGTCTTCATCTCGGAATAGTGACAGCGTCCTCTCCCACCCGGCTCTGGGCCTGCCTGGGGACAGGTGCAAGTGGCAGAGGCCAGGAGGCTGGTTCTGGGGGAGTCCATCCTGGTGGTTGTGGTTGGGGAGGGGCTCAGGGGAGCCAGGGACCAGCCCCAGCTCCGTGCCCTTCTCTGGCCAGGCCAAGTGGCAGCGCCTGGCCTCGGAGGGCAGCGCCCGTCTGGACATGTTCGAGCACATCAGCCTCATGACCTTGGACAGTCTGCAGAAATGCGTCTTCAGCTTCGACAGCCACTGCCAGGAGTGAGTCCTTGCCCGGGGCCTGGGGACGTGTGACTAAGCAGAGGGGGGAGAACAGACCAGAGCCCTCCCGGAAGGGTGGGAAGCGTCAAAAACAGGGAAGGGGAGAGAGAAAGAGCAGTTCTTCCAGGTAGGCGAGGATGCGGGCAGAGCCGGGAGGCTGGGTGGGCAGAGCGTGCCCAGCAGGCAGCGAGGAGCCGCCACGGGGCGGGGGGAGAGGGGCGGCATTGGCCGGGTCTCAAGGACATTGACGGCCAGGCGGAGGGGTAGGAATCTTGTCCTGAGGTCCCAGGGAGCCATGGCGGGTGTTAGAGCGATGACAGTCATGGTCAGAGCTGAGCTCGGACGTGGGCTCTCTAGAGGATGGACTGTCTCGTAGACGTGAGGGTTGGGACCGTGGGGAGGAGGAGGTCTGAGCTCGGTGGAGAAGATGGGGAAGTTCCGGGAGAAACTGAGGAAGAACGGGGGGCAGGACTGGATGTCGCATCAGAGGGAACATGAGCACGACGCCCAAGCTCTGCGTTGGGGCCTGGGGCGAGGAGCCGGCACAGCGTGGAGGCAGGGAGAGCCGGGGTGGGGCGGCCCCATCTCCTGGAGGGAACGTGGTCCTGGGCTTCGGCCTGGAGGCGCCGCCAGGGTTCTCCATGTGGCCCGCAGCCACCTCCTCTCTTTTCCTGGGCCCTGCAGGCGTCCCAGCGAGTACATCGCCGCCACCCTGGAGCTCAGCGCGCTCATCATGAAGCGGCACCAGCGGGTCCTCCTGTACTCGGACCTCCTGTACCACCTCACGCCCGACGGGCGGCGCTTCCGCAGGGCCTGCGCCCTGGTGCACGGCTTCACGGACGCCGTGGTCCGCGAGCGGCGCCGCGCCCTCGAGACCCAGGGTGTCAACGGCTTCCTCAAAGCCAAGGCCAAGTCCAAGACGTTGGACTTCATCGATGTGCTCCTGCTGGCCAAGGTGGGCCTCTCTGGGACCCGGATTCCAGAGCCGGACTAGACACTGATGTCGAATGTCAGGTCCATGAGCCAGGGCTTGATCCACAGGGCACCCGCTGGGGAGCCATGGAAGGTGGTTGAGGAAGGGCGGGACACGTGGGAGACAGGTTGCAGAGTGACCGTGTGGAAGGCTGTCTGGGAGGAGCAAGCGGGAGGCAGGAGGCCAGGGAGGAAGCCCGTGTGGCAGGTCTGGAGATGGCAAGGGCGGCATCCTGCTTGGACGATGGGTCTTCAGGGATGTTTCCGGTGGGGCTCAGGTGCCCTCAGAGCAGGGTGACCCGGGGGTTTTGCCTCCTGTCTCCAGGATGAAGATGGGAAGGAGCTGTCAGACGAAGACATACGGGCAGAGGCTGACACCTTCATGTTTGGGGGTGAGGGTCCCGGTGTGGGACTGCAGTGGGCACGGGGGTCTCTCCAGCCCAGGGACTGGATGGGTGGAGCTGGATCCCTCCATTCTGCCCATCCCCGCCCTTCTCCCATCCTCCCTGAGAGCCCCCATGGGTGGCGCTGTCCACACCCTGGTGCTGAAGCAGCCCAGAGACTCCAGCCTGCCTGGCTGCCCCTCAGGCCATGACACCACGGCCAGCGGTCTCTCCTGGGTCCTGTACAACCTCGCGAGGCACCCGGAGCACCAGGAGCGCTGCCGGCAGGAGGTGCGGGAGCTGCTGAGGGGCCGTGAGCCCGCAGAGATTGAGTGGTGAGTGCGGGTCCTCACGGCCTGTCCCCGAGCCCCTCTCCTTGGCTCTGCTGCCGGGCGGGGAAGGGGGAGATGGCTTTGCTGAGTCTGCCATTAGTGCCTAGTGGCAATAGGAGCAGGGTGCAGAAGCAGGGCCCGGTACCCAGCCTGGCCAGCAAGGGAAAGGTTGCAGGCTTTGGGGCAGAATGTTCTGGGAGTCCATATTTATTGCCCCAACAACTTGCTATGTGACATTAGTACAATCAAGTCTCTTCTCTGAACCCCTTTCTTCTTTGCCGATGGGACGCATTTCTACCCAACCGGGGCTTCCTGGAGATTTAGTGACAACGTGTATAAAGCATATGCCACCCAGTGTGCATGCAGTAAGGAAACTGCTCCCCCACCGCTGGGTTTTCTGCCTATAGTTGCATTTTTTATCCTAAGACTTCACTCTTTCTGGCTTTTGCGCCTGCCTCCAATTTCCGCCTTATAGTCTGTCCCCCGGATTCACAACGGTCGTAGTGGGTAAAAGGCATCTGTCTCTTCATTCAGTAAGCACGTCCCCGCTGCCTGCCCTCCTACCATAGTGCCCAGCCCCGCCTCAGTCCTGGGTGGCTAGGCTGGGGCAGGAGGGATAGGAGGAGAGGCCGGGGCAGGAGGGAGAGGAGGAGAGGCCGGGGCAGGAGGGATAGGAGGAGAGGCCGGGGCAGGAGGGATAGGAGGAGAGGCCGGGGCAGGAGGGAGAGGAGGAGAGGCCGGGGCAGGAGGGGAGGAGAGAAGGCCAGGGCTACGGAGGGGAGAGGAGAAGAGGCCAGGGGGAAAGGAGGATGAGGAGAGAGGCCAGGACTAGGAGGAGAGGAGGAAGAGGCCGGGAAGGAGGAGAGAGAGAAAGCTTGGGGCAGGAGTGGAGGGAGAGAGGGGGGAGAGGGAGAGGAGGAGAGGCGGGGTAGGAGGAGAGGAGGTGGGGAAGGCCGGGGTAAGGAGGGCACGAGGAGTGCAGGGCCCGGTAGAACGGAGAGGAGGAGAAGGCTGGGCACGCGAGGCTGGAGATGAGGGGCCGCCTGGGCAGGAGGGAGAGGAGAGAAGCCAGGAGGAGGGACAGGAAGAGAGAGGGCCAGGGCTGGGGGAGGGGAGGGAGGGAAGGGCCACGGACACGGAGGAGAGGATGGAAAGGCGGGGGCAGGAGGGAGAGAGGGCAGGCCCAGGGCCAGGAGGGGAGGAGGGGAAGGCCGTTGCTTTGGCAGCAAGTGCTGTACAAAACGTCACCCACGCAATGGGCATGGGGGCAGGGCCAGTGCTGCCACCCAAGGGGCAGACCCGTCCGTGCAGAAGCCGGGATGGCGATGGCCACCCGCGAGGACCTAGCGCGGCGTTTGGGAGCTAAAAGTGTCCCTGCCCCCGGGTGGAAGCGCATCAAGATTGAGCGCGAGGGGTGGCACAGGGGGGTCCTGATGGGGCTGGAAGCGGCCCATAGGAGCCCTCTTGGGGATGCTTTGGGAAAACACCTTCGCCCGGGCCGCGCTGGCCTTCGCACTTTGTACTCCTAAGCCACTCTTGGGAGGAGTCGAGGGTGGCCGGGGCATACGCGCTTTCAGGTTTGGGAGTTCCGAGAACCACCTTAGCGGAGAATGCGACCCGGCTGTTATCTACTAGAGAAAATCACAGAAGAAAAAATCAGCCGGGCAATGGTGGCCTGCAACCTGTATCCCATTCACTCAGGAGGCTGGGGCAGGAAAGGGATCGCGTGAGCCCCAGGAGTACCAAAGGTTTGTTGGGTGTAGGTACAAATGCACAATGTCCCTGGTACAAACTCCTACGGGGTGACGAAAGCGAAGAATGACCAGTTCTCAAGAAAAAGCGGGGGTAGATTTTGATTTAACCTGAGGCGTGCCCGGTTGCTAGTCCCTTGGGAAAGCTGATATGAGATCCAAAAGTAAATGTGGCAGAGAGGCTCTGGATAGGGATACAGCACACATGGGGCCAGAAACGGTCCGACACTTGGTGAATAATGCAATGCTCAGTCCAATTGCCGGGGGCCTTGGGGGTGGTGGGTGGGCCCAGGACAGTTGTGGGCCTCGTGTGGATGGGTGCAGCAAATTGAGGACCCGTAGCTGGGGGCCTGCAGCTCATTGCAGTGCCGTGCACTGGGAGACAAGAAGTGTTTTTGTTTCTTGAAGGGAGAAATCCAGGTACATGAAGGAGGGCCAAGCTGGGGAGCCGTGGGAGATGTCTTTGAAAAAGCAGGGGAAAGGTCCAAGGCTCCAGAAACCATCTTTTGTGGCTACAAGGGGAAACTGGAGGGGAATTAGTTTTGGGGAGTTGTCGGGAAGGTCAAGAAGGATAGGTTTTTCTGGTCCCCAAGGGCTTGACAGATGGGGAGGGAGTTGGACGGACAGAACGATTTGGAGGTCCAATTGGGCCGGAAAGCGTTCCAATCGTTGCTCGGCACAGCTGTCCTGTCCCTTTGTGCTTGCCCGCTCAACCGTCCGAAAAATTATGCCAACTTGGCAATAATAAACAGAACCAAAAGGGTTCTTGCCGCGCATGAATACAAAGCCCGTTCCGTGCCTGGTGCTCGCAGTCCCAACCCCAGTCCTAGCCCCAGGGTATCTGCCCTCCATGTCCCAAAGACAAGGTTTCCCGTCTCTTCCCTTTCACCTGTTCAGCTCCCTCCACCCGCGTGCGTTCTGTTGTCACCCCTGTTTCCGCACAACTTCGGAGCGTGGCAGCGGAGGCCGCCAGAGCGGATGCCGCTGCTGAACAAGCGTAGCTTTATTGAAAGATGCTCTTCCGCTATCCTCATGAAGTGAAGTGCTGAAAAATTTTTTGAGTTGCAAAGACGATGCAAAGGAAACGATTTTATTTTCCGTTTTCACAAAGGGGACCATTTAACAGGGAGATATAAGGTTCACCAATGATTATTCGCTCTCCTTCCAGCTAAATCTTACTTGCTTCATGTCGCGTAAACCCTTCTGACCTTTGTGCCCTCTGCGATACGTCCCTACATATAATCCATGGTACGTGAGAACCGCCACTTGTCTTCTCACTTCCACGGTGTTCTCAGAGCTCCATCCGTGACCTCTGAAGGCTAAACGTACCCGTCTCAGTTTTACCCAGCTACCCCTCCGTCCAGGGATGTTCAACGTAAACCTTTTTAAATTAAAAACAGAAATATTTCCCAGATTGCCTGTTAGTATCTCTTCTGCCTGAACATTAAAAGCCTCCCAGTTTTGTGGATGGACCCTAAGTGGGACCGCTGGCTTCCTCCTTTTCTGCTAGTTTGGTGGTGAGATTCCCATCTACGGATGGCAGCGTCCATTCAAATCAGAACGTCTCTCCCGTGTGATCCCGCTCCGTACAGCTCCGAGCCCTTTTTACTGTGAGAGATGCCGATTGAAAATTTGCTGTTGGGGCTGGACCGTAAACACACGTGGGTGTGGCCCTGCTGCGCCTGCAGTCCCGCCCTGACAGAAAAGGCAGTACCTGTCCCACACATTGGGTCCAGTTGCGGGAGCTTCCTCATAACCCTTACCCTCGGTGACCCTGCATCACCTTCCTTGCTTACTCTCTGCCTCGCAATAGTGTGGGCGGTGACGGGGGTCCCACTGTCCAGACAGTTTTTCATTTCCCTGCTCACAACGACCTTTGAGCACCCTCCATGGTTTTCCTCGCATGTGTTGTGCGCTCCCCCCATGAGTTCTTTGGTTCGTATTCTTGCCCCCACTTTCCCTGCTGGCTCACCTGGCCCTTTTTCCTTTGTTGATTTGGCAGGAATGTCTTACTAATTTCCAGAGGATTGTTTCTAGATCCGCTATCCTTTGTGAAATATCTCCTCTGAATCTCTTCAATTCAGATGCAATGTGGTCCAATAGAGTTTCCTTTTAATTGCCCACAGAATTTCTTAATTTTCCATGTTATTTTTCCTTTTTTTTTGTTGTTCAGTCTTTCTGCCTTGGTTTGGGGGTGTAGAATCTATCCCTAAGGGGGTCCACAAAAAACATTCTTACGTTAAATCTTATTTAACTTGTAGTATTACCTTTCCCCTCTAGAGGACTCCACCCTGTACAACCAGAGTGGACAAAGCCATCTGTCTTTTGGTTCCAGGTTGCCGACTGCCCTGGGACACCGTTCCCAACCCAGTTACCCATTGCCCAGGCTTTGTGTCACCCCTCCTTTATGAGGTGCTAAGTTTCACCTGTCACAACGCCTTGATGAAAGCTCTCCACTCTGCTCCAACGCACACTGGCTCTTCTTGTTCTTTGTAACAGCACCAACAGACTTTAACATAATTTGGGTTTTATGGTCATTTTTATTATAAGGCCTATGCCTTTGTTATAGGTCTTTAATATGTGGGGTTGGATTGTTGTTTCCCTTTCTTCAATCTTTTATTTTTTAATTGAACCTAAACTCTAGCCAAGATTTTCTTTCTTTCCCGATCAGAAAACAGGTGGTCAATTCTATAAGGAAATGTGCAAGCTTGGAATTTGGATTGGATGTTGTGAATTATTATTTCCAGAAAGGATTGACTTTTATAATATATTTAGGTCCCATCCTACCTTAAGAGCTGACATGGACTTTTTACTTATTACAAATAACTGTATAAGCCTCTTGAGAGTCCCCGGCTCCGACACCGCCTGCTTTCGTTATAGTTTATTTTATAATTGGTTTAAAATGTTTTAAATCAGAATGCATTAACACTATTTAAAGGGGGATTACACTAATTTTAAAACGTCTCCTTGCCATTTGCCTTTAGTCTTGGCTTAACACTTACGGGGCAAGTTCTCTTCTAGTCGCTTTTGGAGTTTTCTATTTTCGAGATCCTTGACTCTTCCAGAGTCCAATTTTGTTGCATGACTCCGGCAGGGTCGGAGGAGGAGGGGTGGAGGGAGGTCGCCTTCGCGGCCGAGGCAAGCAGGCTGTGCTTGCTTCTCCGGATGAACCGCCGGGGTCTCCTCAAGGGAGGAAACCTGGCCCCAGCTGCCCTTCCTTCAACCCCATGTCATCAAGGAGAGTCTGCGGCTGCACCCCCCTGTCCACTGCGTCATCTCCCACCTGCAAACAGGACGGGTGGTGCTCCCAGATGGCCGGGTCATCCCAAAGGTGCCCTATCCATTGGGGCGAGGGGAGGTGAGCTACTGGTGGGGAGGGGGGGGCGACTTCAGGCGGCTTTGGAACCCTTGTCCTGACTGTCCTCCTCCCGATCAGGGAACGTCCCTGTGTCATCAGCATCTTTGGGATTTCATTGCACAAACCCTCAGTCTGGTACAACCCTGAGGTTGCTGCCCCTGCCCCCTGGCTTCTCACCCCTGGGGCCAGCCTGGGTGAGGGAGGCCTGAAACAAACCCGGGGGGAGACACAGACACCCCCTTCCACTGAGATGCCCACAATCTGTCTTATCCTCGGTGCGAGGCTGGGTGTCCCTGAAAGACCTCCCCAATCAGCACCCTGTCTTCCCGGTCCCCAGGGTAATGCACCCCTTCCGCTTGCTCACCCCAGAAAACCCTAAGAAGACCACCCTCTGGGCGGTTTATTCCCTTTCTCAGCGGGCCCCCAGGTGAGCCCCCAACGGGTTTCAGAGCAAGGATGGGGAGGGGGTCCCCCCCGGTTGGGTGCCCGCATCAGGAAAGCTCCACAAAAAA